CCCTACACATTATGATACAAGCTAAAAACAACTGGTGTGTCTTCACCTTAGTAGACCTATTGCAGACAGAAACAATCTTTCCTCTTAATAAAGGTGAACGTAAAAGATCACACAAAAGACTGAAACTGATGTCGTATCAACATCTGTGTTCCTTTCGCTGCTCGGGGCTGCAAGCATCAAGAGCATTCCATGACTCTGATCTCGCTCAGCAGTAAACCCTCTCACTTGTAAGAGCAGCACTCATTTTCTGCAGGGAGCCTGCATTCATCCCCTAAAGAAAGGGTACTACAACATGATCCCATAGAATCAATACACGATGAAAAGGAAGCTAGGAAACAATGTTTGGAAATCGGTTAAAACAAACGATTCCTGTGAATTCCCAGATAACAAAAAATCAAAAGAGTAAACTTCACCTTGGTATAAACTCCACTCAGTTTACTTATCATGTCAAGAGTAAAATTTACTTCAAACTATCACGTAACTACTGGGTAGTGAATACACATAACTACTGTAGCAACACAAGGGAAACAAACATCTAAAATGAGAGTTAAGGTTACAGAGTTAAAAGTGAACCCTCCAGCTTCCCAATGGCTTGTACACTGTTAACAGAAACCACTGATACACAGCCTTGCTTCACCTACAAGATTTCATCTGTAGTGTGTTTTGTCCAGAATACCAACAAGTACTACTCCTGTCTCAACAAGGAGAGTGGCTTTTCAGTGACAACCCGACAGGTATCACACGAAAAAAAAAAATATTCAAAACCAAACAATACTTGCTTCCTACTGACATGCTTCCCCTCCCCACACCAAGTATGATTATTTCTGCCCATGCCTTTACATAAGAAAGTTCATAAGGGAAGGGGCTGCAAGAGTAGGGCAGATGGAAAACTGCATACAGCGGATTTTCTAGTACAGCAGCATGTTCCCACGACAGTCGCTGTTGGTTAAAAATACTTCCAATACCAAAGAGTACAACTAATCTCGTTAACAGCAGACAAGCAAAATACTCCTGACAGAGGAGTTATATTGGAGAAGGGACTAACCATTGAGATGAATGTCTTTCATAGGACACATTGACATTATAAATAGCAGAAGTCACTATGGCCACAGCCATCGCACTGCATGGGCAGTAAGCATTGTTCCTTCAAAGAACAACTCAAAAGGACATAAAAAAAAGCATTTACTCAAAAAATAGTTGTCCTTCATTCCACATCCCAAGGGATTCCCATTGCTAATTGCTTACTAAGGGTTTTCTTCTCATGATGTTCTCCCAGGACTGAGACTGCATCACTTCACAGAGGAAGGCTGAAGCATTCCACGTAACGCGTGCCTCCCACCCCCTGCACTAGGCCATAGCATTCCACAACACAAATTAAACCTCAGAGCTGTTTTTATTTCCTTCAGGTCTGCAGGCCTTCATCAGCAGTCATGCTGTCTCTCTACATAAAAGTTTTCACCTTATTTTTCAAGAAAACACTTACACAAATACCTGCAACACCAGGCAGCTGCCCGCACCCGTAAGTGTTCATCACACCCTCACCGACCCCGCAGGGCTGCTGCTGGACCCCAGCCTGGCAGCCCCACCACCGCAGGCTGTCCCTTCATTGACTGCCATACCAAACCAGGGTTCTTCATCTCATCTGACAAATGGTTAAACATGCTCAGAAAGTTGAAGGACAGAGAAAAAACATATTTCAACATTGCAATTATTTCCACTGTGCTCAGCCTAGTGCTGACCAACTCCACTGCAGACAGTGGAGCGAAGGGATTTGCCCAAAGCCTCAGGGTAGGTCACTGGAAAAATCAGAGGAAGTTTGCTCCTTGCTGTTTCATGTAATCATGGCCTTAACATTTTTCTGCAAGTATTGATTCTCAGCAAAATGGAAGGTATTTATTGTAAGATATTTTCAGAGCAGGAGGAGTATGGCATAACACTCCAAATTTCTTAAATTTATGACCATGACATCAATATAATCTGAACTGCAGCATATTTACAGTAAGGAACATGGATACATTTTTCTGATTTTCACTTCCCAGCTCAGAAAAACAGGTCATCACTTGCAAATGAGCAAAAAGCACAACCAGACTAAGCAATAAATCCAGAATGACAGATTAGCAATTCCAAATTGCTGAACAGGAGACCACATCCTTTGGCACAATAAAAGATCATTTAGCAAAAGCGATATCTCAATAAAGATGATCCTGGCACCAGCCCAAGCATTCATTCCTTCCAAGGTTATATAAACCTCACAAAACTGTAAACAGAACTTCAAGCACCGTTACTGATGGGAATGCAAACCAGGAGGGGAAATGGGTATTTGTTTTCTCTGCAAAGGCCGTGGAATGCAAGTCCATTTCCTCTGTGCCTCCTTCCTCCCCAGACTTTTCCCAGTCTGAACCTTAGGGATGATGTGGAGATGAAGGGATTTCATACCAGCTTATCTACAGAAGATTCAGCAAAGCCTCTTGATCTCTTTGGGACAATAGAACGCAGAAGTTAAAAATGTATTTGTTTTTTCAAGTTCTAACCTAATCCTCTACAACTTCAGCAGCAGTTATTCAGAGATGATTACTCCCAGAGGAAACTTTCAGAGACTGTCCTCCAAGAAATTCAAGACTTCATCCCTTTAGCCTTATTACATAAAAAAAAAAGTTACATATATATGTATATAAATACTATATATAAATTCACACAAGGGTGGTCAGAATAGACAAGTATATAATAATGTGCCTGCCATATCAACAGTTTTCAGTGGAAACGGTTACAGGAGATCTGTTTCAGATGTAAGACTTATGACAAATAGTTCTACAAGGATACACAAGTTTCTACTTAACTACTAGACATGTACAATTTATATAGTTCAAGTAACAGGAGAAACAGTTACGACTTAAGTTCTCTAAGTCTACCTACTGCCTGAATCTTGGAAGCATTAAGAAAAAAAAAAAAAACACAACACATTTCCAAATGATACTCTTGAGATTTTCAAAGCATCTAGTATTCCTTGCTATCAGCTGACAGTCTACTGTTGTAAATTGGAGGCAGCTAATTTGTGTATAGAATACTTGGAGTAGTTCCACTCTCGTAAATCCATGCCCATCAAGTGTGCTCATGTTGCTGAAATGAAGCTATACAGTGATAAAAATGCAGCTCATTTAATGTCCAGTAACTAATATTATTAACTACTAGTTATGGTGATAATCAGTTGCTACTGCATTTTCTTTTAGGAAAATTTTTTGCTACTTAGGTCAACATGCCAGGGTTAGCTATTTTTAAATATGGATGCTATAAAGGAAAATGGAAATGCACAGACTGAAGTAACTATATTCCAAAAATTTCCATGTACGGGAGTCTGAATCTTTCACCTCAGAAACACACAAAACTGCTTATAGGTTTTTTTTATTTCTTACTCCAAACCACTGCATATATGCATTGATCTTTCAAATAATGCCTTCCTCCATTTATGGACTTGGATCCAAGCTGAACGGGATAAAAACGATAAACAGAAAAAACACTATCTTCCAATTGGCAGCAAGTCTTAAGTTTTCACAATGCAAGCAGTCGTAAGCATTGGCAGTGTACTACTTGAATTTAAATACTAGGCTAAAAATCTCTGAATCTTTAGAACTTCAGCATAAAAATGTTAGGCTGAAAAGCCTAGTAATAACTTGAAACCTGAGTAAGAAATCAGAGATTGAAAAACATCAAATCCATAAATTGAGTGGTACAACAGAAATGCTATGAATTTTGCTGCAAGTCAAGATGCAAAAACATGCACATTAATTATATCATAGGATTTTTAGGATTACACAACCTTTTTTTACTCCATAGCCACAAGACATATGAAGAAATTTACTGGTAACGTGCTTGTAGTAAGCCATGCACATCTGAAATGATATTAGACTATCAGTCTACCCCAACATGCTAAGTTTAAAGCAGCACATGTAGCTGACAAACATAAATTAATTTCACTACTTAAAAAATAGTAACTATCCTTATGGAAAATTAGCATACAAACTGGAAGCGATAAATACCCTACCTACAAGAGCTCACATGCTACCTGCCATCCACAGTATGCAAGCTGACTATAAACAGAACACTTTGTATGGGCAACTTGTGTGTTCAGATTAGGTCTGCCATTTTTCACAACTCCAACCTTACACTCCGTAGGCAGTAGTTGACATAGAGTACTGAAATTGGAACATAACATGTTATATTAAAGAACAGCAGTTTTAGAAGCTCCCTCTTACCTCAGCCTCTTTCTGCTGGAGGATTCTATCCTTGTCTACCACCTCTTCTTCAACAGGCCTACTGAACAAAAGAAAGCATTAATGGTATAAGATACAGAAAGTAGAAAACTCCAAGAACAGATTCAAGGCTCATATTTCAGCTAATATAACAAGAACAAAGTCTACATGCTTCCACACAGGGGACGTTAGGACATTCATAAACCCATGCCTGCATTTTGTAAAAGGCCATTCTTTACCTCATAATACTCCTGTTATTCACTCTCCGTTTCTTAAAATTCAATTTCTTCACGGCTATGGGGATTTTTTGCCATTTACTCTAATCAAGAGATTCCCTCCACTATCTATATGTGGTGCAAAAACCAACCATTAAAACACTGTGTAGGCTATTTCCTTTCTTCTTTAAGATCAAAATGCTTGGCTGAATACTTAAAGAACAAGTAAAGTGGGGACAAGAATAAGTTGCTATCAAAAAAGACGCAGCACAGGTAGATGTGCATTTTTTGTACCAAGTTGCCAAGGACAGAAACCTTACCAAAAAATCAAAACCCAACAACAAACACACCACACCACAAACAACCCCCTACATTACCAAAAAAAGATTGTTTGGTCTAAATTTCTCTCCCTAGCTGCATATGAAGGAGAAAGAGAGCAGCCACCATGGCAGTCCTGCAATAACTGGAGAAGCAAGATCCTACCTAATCAGACAGACTGAGGCCTATTTAAGTTTGTCCACTAGAGTTTACTTTTTCCAAGTAGACATCATTAAATAAAAACCTATCTTGTTGGCAGCCCACTACTTCTTTACGCACATTCCAAGTAAAAACACAGATAAAAGGGAACGGATACAAAACCAAGAACAGTTGTTTGTAAGCACGGTACTTCACCATATCTTACTTCTCTTCAAGAAGAGCATTTCATACAAATTCCAGTAACTCCACAGATCGAAATCTCGTAAGAAATAATTTACAGGTGAGATTTAAGTTAGAAGCAAGAACAAGTCCAATGCCACAGTGGAAAAAGAAGAGACTCAGCAGCAGCAGCAGCAGAGCCCAAAGGCACGCACACACTTACTTGCCAGTTCGTTTTAGCCTCTCCGAACGGAAGTTCTCGTAGTGCAAATCTTGGGTCACCTCCTGCAGGTCCTGCATGTGCGTTCTAGAACATGCAAAGGGCTACTGAACACTTTGTCCTTCTTGTCAAAAGGGAAGAAAAACACCCTTTTATCTTCTATTTCTGTTTTGTATAATGGATGCACTTACTGGAAAAGTAGTCCTTACAGACCCAGCCTGCCATAAAGCTAACCAGAACACCGCTTTCATGTTTACTGATCTTCAATTCATACTTCAGTTCCCTCCCACCAATGTTCTTCAAAGACCCAAAGTATTCTGTCGTCCTCTTGTTCAATAAGAGTTGTTTATACCAGTCTTTGCAGCGTTAAGAACCTTGCAAAGACAGTTATTCAGAAAGATACTTTAATTCCTAAAATATTTTTTTACTCTTACATGCTATTAAGTATAATTTGTAACTGAGAACTAGGTGGAGCTCCTTGGCTCACATAACAGCTGATATTGCCAAAATTGTCAAAAAAAAGAAAAAAAAATGCTTGCTACCAGTGACCAGCAGAGGGCAATCCCTGCCCAGCAGAGACTGAAATCAGAAATGCACAGCAGAAGGCAATTTCCAACAATTGCGAGATGCCATTAAGAAAAAAAAAAAAAAAATCACTTGAAACCATCTACACAAGCAGAATATTCCTATCAAATAAAATCATAACGGGGCGGGGTATCATATTTAACACAGGATTTGCCAAGAAAATGAGCTTTGCCTTTACAATACTCTTCACAGTTTAATCAATCCCTGAGTAATATTTTCACAGAATCACAGAATGTTAAGGGTTGGAAGGGACCTCTGTGGGTCATCTAGTTCAACCCCCTGCTGAAGCAGGGTCACCTACAGCAGGCTGCACAGGACCTTGTCCAGGCGGGTCTTGAATATCTCCAGAGAAGGAGACTCCACAACCTCCCTGGGCAGCCTGTTCCAGTGCTCCGTCACCCTCAGAGAGAAGAAGTTCCTCCTCATGTTCAGACGGAACTTCCTGTGCCTCAGTTTGTGCCCATTACCCCTTGTCCTGTCACTGGGCACCACTGAAAAGAGCTTGGCCCCATCCTCCTGACACCCACCCTGCAGATATTTGTAGGCATTTATAAGGTCCCTCCCTCGACCTGCTGCCCACACTCCTTTTGATGCACCCCAGGATCCCATTGGCCTTCTTGGTAACAAGGACACACTGCTGGCTCATGATTAACCTGTCATCCACCAGCACGCCCAGGTCCCTCTCTGCAGAGCTGCTCTCCAGCAGGTCAGCCCCAGCCTGTAGTGATGCATGGGGTTATTCCTCTCCAGGTGCAGCACCCTGCACTTGCCCTTGCTGAACTTCATCAGGTTCCTCTCTGCCCAGCTCTCCAGCCTGTCCAGGTCTTGCTGGATGGCAGCACAGCCTGCCGGTGTATCAGCCACCCCTCTAAGTTCTGTGTCATCAGCAAACTGGCTGAGGGTACACTCTGTTCCTTCATCCAGGTCACCGATTTTAAAAGACTCTCTGCCCCACCCACTACACTATACATATAAATTGAAGTTTTCTTAAAGCCATCAAATCAGTTCACATAAGGCATAAAAATTGTCATGTATTATCTGTAAAATACAGAAAATATTTTCTGAAGTCAGAGATCAGGGGATTATAGCAGCAAAACAAGCTCGGGGCAGGGGGGAGACACACAATAAAAATTCACTCTGCACTGCCACCAGAGCTAGTTTTGAACTAAAGAGTTCATGTTCCTATAACTGTCTAGTCATTGTAACAGTTATGTCACCACAGGAGATGGGATAACTTTACCATTACTCACACCAGCATTGTGCGCAGTTTAAGGAAATCATTGTGCTCTGGATTTTCAACTTCCACAACTCCCCAGGGATACAGACGACCTCTGATTTTTTTCCCTTTCACTTCAATAAGTTGATTGGATCCAATCACAGCAAAGGGAATGCTAGCCTAGTTGAGACAGAGCAAAACAAGTTACTGTTTTGATTTTTGACTGGTTACTTTCTCTGTGTTTTGTTTTTCTTTTAAAGAAAGCACAAAGACTTTGAAGTAACAGACCAGAGAGGAGCAAAAGAAACCTTGACACATGCACTCTACTAAAATCCTTCCACACCAGAAAACCAACGTAACCTCTCATTATTAGCACCTGTAATTTTGTCAGGATCAGTTTGTCTTAACAAAGGCACAAAAGGAAATGACGCTTTGCTTTAGGAACACTTGACTGTTGTTGAAGTACAGTTTGGGCATAATGTGTCATCTGACATAACATCATGCATGGAAAACTGCCAACAGAAACATACTTCAGATACAGATTAAAGTAGCTAGAGAACGAAATTCAGATACATTCTTCAAGCACCTTTGCAAGAGGAAATTGCTTCAGTAAAACTTTTATTCTCTGCTCTAACAAGAGGAAAGTTGTTAATTAGTATAGTAACCATAACACGCACACATCCTCTCTCCTTGCTTGCACGTTGAAAGGTTTGTGTCAGAAAACTGACTGCTAATCACAGATTTTGGAGAAGAGTTGCTTACATTTAAAAGAAAACAAAGTCATAACACACTACATTTGGAATTCTGATGAAGCAGAATAAAAACGTTTATAATTCAGAATCAACATCCCAAAGACTTGAATTTTCAACACTTTATAAAGGAATAAAGTACCTTTAGGCATACCACAGGCTTGAAGAACTACTGCAGCAAAAAAAATAAATTAGGAGTGAAACTTGCCTTTAAAACTCTGGTTTGTTCTTTAAACTCCTCATCTTCATCAGAATCTGCATCAGGGAGCTGATAAATCCTAATGCCATGTTCAGAAATCTCATCTAGAACCTGAAGTTTACAAAAAACGAAGAATAATAAATTTTGATTTCATTGAAGAAGTATTAAGTTAAAAATACATACAACTGATTTACTAGTCTGTCACATCCAGAAAACTCATAATGTTTTTCTGCTTTTAGTTTGACAATGCTTAGAAAAACTCATTAGCAGAAATTGCCTTTACTTATGCTTTGAGTTTATGTACTACCAAATTAGTTTACGTCCTACAAGACTATCTCACATGGCATTAATTTTATTCTGCCTGTGAAGAAAAAAACCCAGCACTTTTCATTTTTTCTTCATTGAACCTCAAGTCCATAAATATCAACTCAGCAAGCAACCTACATGTTTTGAGATATAAGAAAAGAATACTAAGTGGGAAATCAATTGCATCCTTAAAACGAGGAAAGGAAGCCTATGTTAGACCTGGTTGGATTTTAAAGATTTTATTTTACTATTGCAAGAAAAGTATCTTAAAAACATTGCTGAGATTTGCTAACTACAGAGGTTCTCTTTTGAAGATCTTACTAACAGGCATTTTACAAAGCAAAAACATTTGCTGAGATTACCTCTGAATTAAACTGTAATCTACCTGTGATACAATCTGCAAAATCAGAAATGGCTAAATATGAACAACAGCTCACCTGTCTGTCCACCCCAAGAGGAAGAGATTCACTGACTAAATGCATTTTGTGACATTGCTAATGTATGTTTCTTTGTATATGACCTTAAATAGCATATTTTTGTGCAGTGATACAGAAATAAATATATCAAAATGCAATTAAGGCCTTCAGACAACAATCTGTACTTGTACTCGAGAAATAAACACCAGAATTAGAACCCTATTTTCTATGAATGTTAGCTGTATAACTAATAAAATATTTGCAATACAATGCACTCTTGCACAACACTTTTTGAAGACTAACAAATATGCACTTGACTCAACGTCTGAAGTGCCAAATAACACAGGCTTAATGATTTTTAAAAAGGCACAACAGTTAAATGCATTTTTAGAAAACACAGAAAGTAAATCATTAAAAAACCCCAGAAGATTTACACACAGCATAATACAGAAGCAGACAAAACCAAAGTGAAGTTAGTATGAAAAAAATAAGTGAAAGTAATGACTTTGTAGAAGGATTCAATAATTACAGCATCAAAACCATGCAGCTCATGTTGAAGTATATTTTATTGTCTTTGATGTGTACAAAAATTTAAAAAGACAGTGTCTATTGTCCGTTCAATCAAAAAGACAAAAGCTTATTATCCACTTAAACTGGGGAAGTTATTCAAAATCTGCTAAGAGAAAAACCACCCACAAACAGTTTTCTTTATTGTCACTAATGTCTGAGATATTAACAAAAAAATACACTACCAGTATTCCTGTACACATTCTTTTCCTAATGAAATCGCTGCAGGAGTAAGCAGCCAGCACAATTCCAGGCCTTGGGCAGTTTCAAAAGGTGGTACAAGTCAATCCTTTCTTCAAAACTGAAGAGAATCCTTCTACTGCCATATTATTAAAAATACTTCAGTCAGAAATCCCATCAAATGCACTGACAAGATTTTCTTTCACTAAAGAAAGTGCGGTGGTATGAGGAGAACATGAAGAATGCTGAGATTTCAGAATAACTCTCTCCAAAGGGATCTTGGATTGTAAGCAGGAAAGGGTTAACTGTGCAAACTTCTGAGATTCATATTCCCTAATGGGTTGCAACTGTAACTTCACTAACTTCACAACCGCAGGGGACCCAAGCAGCAGCACTCTGCAGTAATGCACTCTTACAATAGACAAAGTCCGGGCAAAACTGGGAGGGGGGCGAGGGGGGTGTTGAGGTAATCATAAAAACATTCAGAAAAGCCTATGGAAGGACTTGTGCTGTCATTACTACACATGGAACTGGACATTAACTTGATAATACAAACACAACCAGACTTCAAATGAAGAAGAGGTCTTAATGAGCCTTCCCATAGTATTGTTGGGTTTCTTGATCCTCTGTCGTGATGGCAACCAATAGCTATGGTATAAATAAAGCTTGTCCAGCCAGAGCTTGATTACTAAACAGCTGTTCAAAACAAACCAATCCCTCACACCATTAGAAGAGGAATGACCACATATGAACCAGTTACTCCCATGACAATGTCTTCCTGCCAGGTATATACACATCCCACGCACTCACACACGCGCACACACTGAACAGAATATTATGAGCCTCCACCAACATAGACAGCAATTATTTTTAAAATAAAAAAGACATTTGGGAACAAGTGTTGCTAATAAGCAATTAACAGTTACATTCACACAATTACATTTAAATCCATGCATTGTTTTGCAGAATGGAAGATAACTAAACTGTCACCAAATGATAATAAAAGATGCACAGCTGGGATGGGTGGGACAGCGCTGCAGTGCGATGCCTTTAAGTAGCTGCATAAAACAAGAGCGCACAATTTAACCTGGCTGAGATCTTACAGATTAAATGCAAGTGAAACAATAACGGGAAAGCCGACAACAAGGGGTGCTAGAATAATATATTACAGCTGTTAAATCTAGTGCTTTCCTGAAAGGAAAAAGAATTGCAATAAAAACAAACTGCATTTTATGGTCCTAACAATGAAACAGCATTTTGCTTCTTCAAATCTGAATTTTATTGGCCTCAGAGGATTCTGTGTTCCTAAAGATTAGCCTTCCCATGGGAAATTAAAAAAAAAGTCAAAATATTAGTTCCCCTCTCATGAAGTCATTCTTTTGAGCAGGTTTCCTTAGCAGCCTTGCATAGCACAGCTTGTGAAACTGCCTTGCATTTCTTCCCATTCGAGAGTTTTAAAAAATAACTTTGAATTCCAGAAAGACCAAACAGGAATTACTCCAAGCTGGGTTTCCTTTGCAAGCACCACAAACTGATCTTGCTGTTTAGTCCAAAGCGGCAAAACAAAAACATTTTACTTCAGATTGATGGCCAAATGGCAGAAACATCTAAAATAATAAGACTTCAAGCTGCGTCAGCAAAGCAGGATTTTGATTCTTATTCTTGATTAGAGATTCTGTTAGCCAAGATGCTTTGAGTTAGAACAATATACAGTAGCTGGACTTTCAAAGCTTTGGAACCACATTATACATTTGACTTAGTATAAACTCCGTTTGTAGAGTGACCTTTGCCAGCAGTACAAAAATAATGAAGACTTGTTTAGCTGTTCCCTAACCACTCCCTCAGACTACAGCGTAAGTGCCATTCATCTCATTATGTTTAGCCAATGCATAAATGTGGCAGCCATATATGTAAATCGAGACTGTTTTAAAGATTAGTTAGTTAAGAGTAACTTTGCTCAGTCTAGGAAGAACTAGACATCACTGAATACGGTCAAGAGAGGTCACCTTTAAATTAATCTGTTCATCACAGGATATGTAAACTGGGATTCACCTCCATGTTCCACAACAAATGTGCATCATAAACCCTCAATCTATCATCACTTACAGAATTATACTGAAAAATAAGCGATTCCAAATTCACACTGGGAAACAGTTTGCTTGTCCTACTGCCATGTTTCAGCTAAAATCTGGTGTTAACAATACACAGAAGCAACTGTCAAACGGCACGTGCACTATGCTATGCTTGACATTTCACCCTCTTGGTGAGAGGCCACCAAGCAGCAGACAAAAGGAGCACAGAATAAGGAGTCCCAAAACAATTACAGCAAGTATCGAAACCTGGTAAGGTGACGCTCCAATTCATTTCACATAAGCACTACTTTTGTGAAACATGACTGTAGCTAGAACTTGTATCAGCTTATTTTATGTATTTGAACTGACAGAGCAGAACATTCAGACTCCCAGTGAATTATATTGTCAAATAATTAACATTCCACTTCAATGCCTGCTTCAAATCTTTCAACATCATTCTGCTATCAAATGCTGAACCAAAAATAAGTACCTATGAAAACTGAGCCTGAAGTACACTGCTGAAAGATCAAATATAGTTTCTTTATAAAAAGTAGCAGCTCCACAAACAATATTACTATCAGATAATATCTTCCACCAAGTCAGTACACACACAGAAAAAGAGAAGCAGTAAAACCAGCACAAGCAGCCACATCTCTGCTTTGTTATTTCCCTATGAGGTCTTTCAATTTGTCCACAGTATCTGTCATCTACTCATAGCATTTGTGGAGGAACAAAACAAAAGCTCAGGAGCCTGGACAGAATTTCTCCCAGCAAGATCTAGAGGTCCTTTTTAACTCAATGAATGACCTTTTTTCATTCCCCCCCCTTCACCCATTTCATCACAAAGCTGGTCACTTTTGCATAAACACCTGTCCCCCTCTTCAGTGAATGTTTGTCTACATTGCAGACAAAGTTTATACAGTCATAACTGTCCCCACTTTAAACTCCCTCAGATACAGAGGATTTATTCCATTTCTTGGACAAGTTTTCTTACACCACTCAGCTTTATACAAAAAAACATCAATGCCAGCTGTACCTCACCTTGCCAAATTGTAGTTGCTTACATGCCTACACAAACCACGGTCACACCTTTGATTGGGGCACTGGTCCACTCAAAAAAACCCTGAACAAATCCTCTGAATTTAGGTTGAGTTCAGCTAATGTGCTGTTTCATAAGAATGATTTTAACCATAATATTTTCCCAGCTAAATAAAGCTCTACTCCCTCTTCAAGAAAACAAAAAAACACGCTCCCAAAAAAGCCCCTGAATAAAGATCCCATAACTATTCTAAAGGACTACTGGAAGCCAGAGCATCATAATCAAAACACCTGTCATGCCCTCCATGAAAACCAAAAAGTAGTAGTACAAATTATATTAAGCTATAATAAAAAAGATTAAGAAATAATCTTACTATGAAAAAAAGTTTGCACATTCTGGTGTATAGACTGCATTCTAGAAATATTACTTATCTCTGTACTTCTCAATAAATCAGTTATCAAACTTGCAAAAATTCAAATCTGTTTGACTCTACAACTGAATGTACTGGTTTTGAGTCAACAGAACTCAGAAAAACCTTGTGATCTCAATAAATTTTACTGAACCACTTCTAAACATAATACAGTCTCACCACCTACCCATTTCCTTCTTTAAGAAGATGCATGAAGTCATTCTGAATCAAAGAGTATACACCAGGAAAGGTTAAAATATTTAAATTCATTGGCCAGATTATTCTATGATGAGATTAAATGGAAATTATATTTGAAGTGAAAGACTTGTACGACGAATATGTACTTTATTCCTGTAGAATTCACTACAATGTCATATATGGCGGAGGCTGGCCTGTCTTGGAAAAGTTTGGCAAAAAAAAAAAAATTCAAGACAGCAAGTAAATCTTCCAATGCAAAAAGATTTATTTTATGACCACTGCTCAGAAAGCCCTTCTCCAGTGCAGCCCTGAGTATGTCCTGGTATTTCACATGAACAGATAACCTAGTAGAACACATATACAAGACAACATGCTTTTTTCCATAACAATGGAGCTACAAAGAGCATCCTGCTAATATCTTAAACCAACTGTCCTGCCTCTGTATTAGTGGTTTAGTTTGTATCATGGGTTTTAGTTTGTATCATGGGTGCACTTCTTAAGCAAGTTTCCAATCACCCTGACTTAACCACATTTTGCTACAAACCACACACACAGTTAGAGTATGCAAAGCAAGCTTCTTTTGGATGAAACTAAACCCAAAGATACACTCTCGGAACAATCTAAAGGACTCCCACCATGAATGTACACTCAGTCCACTGGACTAAATGAGAGCTAGTCTGAAACATCTACACTATACACATTTCAGGATGATTTGAGCCCTCATTACAAACCGTTTTGCTCAAATCCTGCTCTATTGGGGTGCACTGCTTGCTAAGATAGATGAAGCCAAGAATGACCATATTCTCAGCAAGCGTAACTGGTAAAGTACATCAGACTTCACAGAATCACAGAATCACAGAATAGTAGGGGTTGGAAGGGACCTCTGTGGGTCATCTAGTCCAACCCTCCTGCCGAAGCAGG